TGAACTTCTTGTGTCCTGAATCGTTCAGTGCTTCGACATCAGGGAATGGATTGAACGCTGGTGCCAGCCACAACATCCAGTCCTCATGATTTGGGTCGGCTGACGCTCCTAGGACATTCGCCGTGCATACTGACCGCCAGTTGTTCAGGTGAGTGAGAACAGGCCATGGAGGGACTGTCACTTTATCGGCCTCTCTCCTGGAAATTCTCACCTCCGTGACCTCAGGATCTGCGTCTCCGTCAGGATCACGCGCATGAGGGTCAGGATCCGGTTCAGGTTTGCCTCCACCGTTCTTCTTCTTATCATCATCGTCATCATCAGGCGAATCTGGAGGGTCATACCCTGTGCCGGCACCTTCGTCTCGCTCTCCATCTTCGTTCTCATCGCCAGCTTCATCACCGTCATCGTCTCCATTGTCTTCCTGCATCGTTTCAGCGAATAATCTCCACTCATCACGATCAGCTCTGAGACGTTGTTCGGCTTTCTGGGCCTTGAGTACTTCGCTTCGCAGATCAGCAATCTTCTCTTCGTACTGTTCCGCGACCTCTTTCTCGATCTGACGTCTCCTTGCCTCATGGATGGAAGCATCGTAGGTGACAGGGGTAGCCTTTGGGGCACCATTGGGGTCGTTGCCCCTCATAGATGCGATAATGCCGTCGATACCAACAGGTCTTGAAGAGCTGGCAGATGCTGTGGACTTCGATCCCAACATCCCGCGATCCTCCAAGAGTTGACGTAGCTGTCGGTCACGTACGGCTGCCGCATCACTTTGTCCATGAAATCCGCTTGGTATGCCAAACAGAGTGGCTGCACTGGGCGTGGAACGCGCATGTGCTGGACTGCTAATGCCTGGCACGTGGTGCTCGGGCATTGCATCCGCCACGATTGGCGTTGCGTAGGATTTATTTACCTCACCTTTGATGTTGCCAGTGAAGAAGTTTCCACCGGTAAATGGGATGCCATCCATCGCAAGGTTCTTGTCCTTGTCCGATTCTGAGAATGCGAACTTCTCTTTGGCGACTGGACTAATTTGACTTGGGGACCGTATTTCAGGGGATCGCACCTCACCTCCTACGGAAAATGCAGGCACTACTTCCTTTCCTACGTGCTCCCAGCCAGACTCAGTAGTCCTCGAAGACATGGGCATGCTCGAAGGCCGTGTCACTCCGCCATGGTAGTTGGAGTTCCGTGCTGCCTCCAATTCGCTGCGTGTCCTCGCTTGAAGATCTTCTTGTGCTTTGAGCGTTTTCCTGAGTTCACTCAGCTCGTCGTGCAAGGTGGGCAATGCGCGCCTTGCATGATCCTCATTCTGATGGAGTCGGTCCTCTGCATCTTGCATCCTCCTCACAGCCATTTTGCGGTACTCTTCCTCCTCACCAAGACGTTCGCGAAGCCGAAGTCGCTCTTGATCAATGGCTGCGCTGTTTCCAGCTAGCCCTTGAATCTCGTTTATGGCTCGCAACTCCTGATTCCTGACCAGGTGGAATCGTTCCTGCATCGCTTGCAAGGCTTGTTCCGAACTTGCTGTGTTCGACCGGAGGAACAAGTTCTCTCTGGCTTGTTCATGAAGTTCATGAGTCAGATGCTCATACTCACGTGCCATAAGCTCACCATCGCCCTGCGCTCTTGCCTCCAACTGCACAAAGTTAGTGGCTGCTTCCGTGCGAAACACATGTAGCTGTTGAGCCAGTTCCTCGGCAACGGCGTGTGCTTGACGTTGTTGAGCAGAGTTCTGTTCATCCATGCGAAACAAAGCTGTTTCATAGTCTCGCTTCATCTCCTGATTGACATTGTTGATGTGCCTCATGGCTAAGCATGCATGGTCACGTTGTCGTTCCAATTCTTCGATGCGAATTCCAGATCCTTCATCCTCTTGCTGCATCTCCTTGATCTTCTCCATCAGGGTCTGGACAACACCTTCGTACTCCTGCACCTGACTTCGATAGTACATCTGCTGTGCAAGATTCGATGCTTCAAACTGTTGCGGAATTGTCAGTCCCTGGTAGGCATTCGGACCATCGGCTATGGCTGGTGTAGTCACCGACGAAGCGTCACACCGTGCAGGAATCGTGTCCAGAGTCATATCCAGATCGTCACCTTCGCATGGTTGATTGGTAACCATTCGATTCCATGTCATGGACTTGTCGCGTCCACGAGTGGCCGAAGTCCTAGATCGTGCTGAAGAGCTTCTCGAAGATGATGGTCGCGGCTTCTTTTCCAAAGTCTTCACTCCCTTGTCCTTTGCCCTCGACGGGGTCCGAGGTGCCTGAAAACCAGACGCTTCGGATCGTCGTTCTGGAGCCTTGCTCGTCCTCGAACCTGTGGATGTTGGACGCGAAGGCGTGGATGCTCTTGGTAGACTCTTTGCTTTTGCTTTGGGAACTGCCTTTGCAATGGCAAGCGCAGAAGATTGACCTTTGTCATCTTCCGTGGAGCTATCAACGGATTGCACCACTGTGTCATCAGCTGTTGACTCACCAACGGCTGGCGCTGCCACATCGGCACCGAAAGTCATTGTCGTATCTTGACTTGATCCCGAGTTCATTGTGGTCGTAGTAGATCAAGTAGTCTTTGCTGCAGAAAGGCCGAGCCGCGTACGGCTGATAACCTGCGTGGGGATTTGATCCTGGTAATGTTCTCTGTCGCTCACCCCACAAAGAGCTGTATTGACTGTTGGCGTGGTTGCCTTCTACAGACTGGATCACCGTTACTTCCACTTCCACACGCGCACTCCTATGCAGGCAGATCCAACGTTCGCTCGTTTTGCACGCTCACGGCCGGCGGTGGATCGTCTGTGCACGGGATAGCTCTGTCCACTCGGAGAATCACAGAAGATTATAGCACTTTAGCTATGGGCAATGCTTTCTAGAGCTTGTGCTCATTCTTGAGCCAAAATGTTGCATGGGCGGTCATACTGAAAGCATGGATAGGCATTGCGGTGTGCGTAGCACTTCCACAAGCCTAATCCTAGAGACGAGGGACGCGTGGCGTGCCCCCTTCCCTTGCACTTTACACGGTCTTGCTCACAGCTCTTATAGTGACACCTTAGAACTTGACAAGGCATCGCAGTCCGTTCGCAGTTGGGGTATCTCCATGTAGGGTACTTATAACTCTACGTACTTATAACCTACCTACTAAGTCTTCTGGGCCTCCAAGCAGTATCATGCACATTTTGGTACTCATCAACACAGAAAGGGAATGATAAATCATTATCTGGGCTTTTTAGTAACCCGGGAAGAAAAAGTATACACTTATCATTCACAATGGTTCCTTTGAGAAAAACGTATTAAAGTATGGTACTCCAAAGCCCAGTTATTCTTCGATGAAAAATACGATGTTTAGTATTCTCTCGGGTTTTAGATGAGCAAAATTAGAAAGGGTTCCTAAGGAGACGATAGTATACTTCAACAAGCCCCCATGTCCACATCCAAGTGGCCTCCTCGCGGAGCTTTCGGAGCTCCTCGTCGCTGAGGGCTGGCGCTGCAGATGCAACGGCCATGGCCAGGCGAGAGCGTTGGGGTGTGAAGGTTAGGTCAGGGTTCCGGGTTTTAGGGTATGGGCTTGGGGGGTAAGGGGGGGTGGCATGGCATGTTTAGACTCAAAGAAGGTTTGGCTTCAGGATTTTAGGGTTCTGCTTCAACGTTAAAGGTTCTTCTCTAGGGCTGTTTTGAAGCCTAGCGAACTTCTGTGAGGACTTTGCGTCTCTTTGCGGATGCTGCGGAACTAGCGAAGATTGGAAGAAAATAGCTTGTGCATCTGCAACGGCTTAGGGTTTATATAGGGTTTCTGCCGGGAATGAGGCAGTTAAAAGTCATGGTCTTTTCCAGTCCGAAAGCGGTCCTGAACATGGAAAGAATGACAGTACTATGGCCAAAGGTTGGCAAAACCACCCTCACACTGGCAAAGAGCAATCATCTGATGCTGCTATTGCCGCGGCTGATTTTTAGTAGGCCAAGGACCAACAGGCATCCTGTTTGCAGCTGTGGATGCATGGGGTCCGAGACGAGCATCCCGATTGAGGCTATGGGGCTCAGGGCCAAGAGCCTTGAAAGTACGTCTCTTTGCAGATTCTTGACTTCAACCCGAGTCTTCCCTAAGGGCAGGCTCGAAGGAAGGAATGCCTCAAAGTTGACATTGAAGAGTCAACGCCTGCAGCCCCAAAGCACAAAACCATGAAACCTTGATTATCTCAACATTCTGTACACCCTAAACCCTACAAACCCTTTCCCTATAAGCCCTAACGCTTGGGCTTGCGCCAGCTTTGCCAAGCCTCGGCCACTCGCTGTGGCTCCCCGGCGCTGGCGGATGGCTTGGTGTGGTACACCAATTAGGGTTTGGGGGTTTTGGGGTTTAGGGGTTTAGGGTTTAGGGTGGGGCAGGTGGAGCATGGAGAGCAGGATAGATCTGTTATTCCTTTCAGCACTTGTCCATGGCGGTCGAGGCATCATTCCCGTAACCCATAGTTCTGGGCCCTTAATTTGTATCACCAACAGTATCAGGGTAAGTTACAAGGACTTGGTATGTGTCCACGCTCCCGAAGCCTTGCAACCAAAGCGCACATCTGCCAGGATCGTAAGTTGAACAGCCAGTGTCTGGCATTCGAGTATGACGTAGAACTACGATCATTTCCTGCGGATTCCACAAGACAGTGCGCAAGCAGCCGAATTTCTGCACGTATCTGGTGCTTTCCTAAAGCCGAACATTGCTTGGGTAATGCAGGATATATATATATATATATATATGTCATCAGCCGTATCTCAGCATTCCGAAGCCTGAGTCACGCAATGCCAATATTCTTTTACAACCGCAGAAACCTGGTGCGAATGCAAAACACATCTTTCCGATAAACATCTGGTGACTCCCTGTCCATCTATCTATCTATCTGTCTATCTATCTCTCCCTGTCTGCCTGCCTGCCTGCCTGCAAAATCCCTACAACAAACCCTACCTCCTTTCAACCCGATACCCATTCTGAAATGCTTGTGAGACTCTTTGATCTTCCTACATCCCACAAACAGAAAACTCCATATAATGCACGCCCATGTCATCCACCTCGCTGGCTGCCGACTTGGACATGGACTGCATCATATCGAGCCTGGCTTCAATTAGGGCTTAGTGTTTCGGGGTTGGGGTTGAGGTCTTACGCGAAGAGAGTTTAAAGGTTTAGGGGTAGAGGTGTAGAAGGCGTTCGGGCGTCGCGGTTCTGGGTTGATTGGGTTGACGGCACACTCCTGAGCCCTTCAAACTTACAGCCAGTTTGGGGCTCGGGGTTCGAGGTTTCAGGGTGGGCGTAATGGCTGAGGATGACCAGACTAGAGTAGATACTGCGCGAGATGTATAGATGTAGTCGTATTAGCAGTCTCTTACCGGTCATCAAGGTTCCTTTGTGAATTTCCCGTCTGTCAGCTTCTCATTTTACATGGTGATTCAATCATTGAATGTTGCCCCGGAGGATGCAGAACATATTAAGGAAAGTCGTAACCCGACCGCAAGTGCATCCTGCCCTAATGATGGATAACACTTCTGTGGTTCCTACGCCACAGAGCACAAAAGTCTTAAGCAATCACCGTCATTGCCAAGCCACGACATTCCCGCATCGATGTCCTCCTCCTTGCGGAAGCGGTGCTTGCAATCACACGAAGGGTATTTGTGGTTTCGGGATTTGGCTTCGGCAGCCCAGCCTATGACCGCCAAGCCAGATCTGCACTGCTTCTGCTTCGCTGCTAAACAGTGCAATTCAGTGCAACAGCTGCAGACATACTTGGACCACCACTGTAGTCTCACAGCTCTAAGTCAAACCTGTGTGCTTTTGCGACTGAAGCCACCTACCTGCAAAATGCTGAGAATAGCTTGGTATGATGTCTGTCTGTCTATCTGCACATGCATACATACAGACACACATAGCAATAGAAAGGGCTACATAATGTGGCGCCTCGATGGGTTCATGCCAGAGTTTCAGTATTGGGAATTGTGGGACCTCAGGTTTAGGGTCTCCTCCTCATCGAGATCCAAACTCCGACCTGCCAGGCAGCTTCTGTGCCGGGGCTCGCGGCTTCAGCTGTCGTGCGGGTATCGGACTCTGTGGATCTAAGGCTACAGGTTTAGATGCTTTAAGAGATGAGACTTTGGTTTAGGTTTAGGGTTTCGGAGTTTGACAAATTTGACCTGTCTGCAAGGGTTTAAGCACAACTAGGACGTCGGGCTTCCGGGTTTAGAGTTCAGAAAACATACAATCCCTGCCCTGCGTTTTTTGAATTTGGAGGGCTAGGCTTTCAGGGCCAGCTAGGGTTTCCAGCGTGTAGTGAGCTTCAGCGTGTTGAGGGTTTTCGGCTGCATACAAACAACGAAACCGCTCCTAGATCTTCGAATTCGAAGAAACCGCCACCAACTACAAATGCTGAGTAAGTCGCAGCGAATCCTAATATCAAGCAATAAAGGGCTCTATAAGGCTCTACATGGGTTTAGGGTTTTGTAGATTCCGTACTTTCGTGCTGAAATTTCAATCCCAAGGCTGAGTCTTTCGCGGAAACGACCCCCGCCCCAGCGGCAAACTTCGATGCTGGTACACGTAAGAATGGAGTCTGGGTGGAGGTTGGACATCCATGGGTTGAGAAAGAAACGAGCAATGATGGGAGGGTTTGGGGGTGTATGATAGGATGTGTTCGAGGCCCTTGAAGCGGACAGAGCTTGAATATCTAATTCAGACCCCTCTATGTCGAGCCTACCTGAGGATCTCTGGCTTTAGGGTTTAAAAGCTTGAGTTTCCTAGGGCTTTGGGTCTGACGCTAGTGCTTCGGGGGGTTTAGGGTTTAGGATCATGGGTATGAAGATTGAGGCTTAAGAGCTCACTGACATTAAAACCTGAATGCATTTTGAAACAGCGGACCGACAGTTCTGTGCAACCCTGCGCGCCAACTCTGCCAGAGCTTCAGGAGTTTGGGGTTTCTGCTTTTGGGGCTGCACGGGTTCAGGTTTGAAACACTAGGGGTGCAAATAGAAGCAAAGCCTCCATGTCATGCATGTTCCAGACCCTACTATACAAAACTAGAGCATCGCAGACCCAAAACCCTAAACCCCAAAACCCTAAGCCCCAAAACCCTAAACCCCCAGACCCTGAAACCCTTGACCCCCGGACCCTAAACCCCTAAACCCTTAAACCCTAAACTCTTAAACCCCTGAAGCCCTGAAACCCTAAACCCTAAAAAGTGCAAGCGGGCAGGGACCCTAAACCCTTAAACCCTAAACCCTTACACCCTAAACCCTTAAACCCTAAACCCTTAAACCCTAGACCCTTAAACCCTTAACCCTTAAACCCTAAACCCTCAAACCCTGAACCCTTAAACCCCATGCAGACCCTAAACCCTTAAACCCTAAACCCATCCTCCGGTTCACATGGCCTCCGCGCTTGGAACGCCCCAGCTGCGGAGCCCGGAGCCTTTCTTGAGCTGCTTGCTTTCCAGGACCCCCCCAAATCGCAAAAGTTTAGAGTTTAGGCCCTGGGCCGTAAAGTCTGTGCCCTGAATGTCAATTCCAGGCAGCCCGAAGTACCCGAATGAGTAATCTATAATAGAGCCCTTATGGTCCTTGATTCTGGGTATCTGAGGTATGATAATCTGATAGTTGGGGGTTCTAGGATAGGCTCCCCTAAACTTCCTTAACCCTATAGCCCTAAATAGGGCTTGGGTTTACGGCTTCAATTTTCTTAACCCCAAACCCAAAACAGGGTCTGGGCTTAGGGTCTCGCAACTTCATTAAACGGGTCAGGGCTTGGGAGGTAGGGTTTAAGTATAATTTGCTGAGGATCTGGCCTTTCTCCTTGTCGGGATTAGTGGTGTATCATGCTTGAGGACCTAAGGCCTTCTGAGGGTCGGGGCTGAGGGGCTTAGGATTAGGATCTTTGGTGCTTTGGGCTTACCACCTCGGGCCCAAGTCTCAGGCGCAGGATGTAGAAAGTTCGGAGTAGCTAAGCCGCTAGCCCAAGCCTGTACCGTGCAAGAACAGCGGACCTCGAAAGCCCAAACCGGAACGACGGTCTGAATTCAGAAGCTCATTCCTGCCGTCGAATTGCCGTACTGCAGAAATCCGCATCGATCGTAGACCCGTCTCGATCCCGGAGCCAAGTTGGAAATTTGTAGGCCGCAAGCTTGCTACTGCCTGAACTCATACACATGCGATATAAGTTAGATAAGCATTGCGTTGATCATCTGCTCCAGTGCTGCTTGTTACCCACTACAGAGCTTACATGCAGCAGTCGCAGTAAGCTTCTCCATTTTTTAGTCGAAAGCCGACGCGGAATGGGTTCAGGCATGGGGCCCAAAACCCCTACCTTCAACTACCATGACTGACATTTGTACGATCATGACATATGGACCCTAGATTTGAATTTATGAATGTGGACCCACAAACAAGTAGTCATCCCTAGGGTTCCAGTTGCGTACATGGTGGGTGACTGGAACCCATATCATACGGCTAGTAATCTACTCATCATTTCGGTATAACCGACCTACTTTTGTGGCGCCTCGACGCCAGGCTGCGGCCTTTGCCCGCCAGCACAGGGCCTGGCGAGCTTTGTCACCAGGGGGGTACTTTTAGAACAGTCATGCCTCCTATAGATACCCTGCATTCTAATTGCAGAGCTACTTGGGACCTTTTGGAGTCCCGAACATCAAGTCATTCGCTCACGAGCCAGGTGCCCTTCTGATCAAACACGGAGGCACAAAGGTCTGCGCTGGACATGACCTGGACAAGACTATGTTTATAGGTGCCTTCAGATGAGACATGGTAGAATGGAGCTGCCGCTGCTTCAGTAACAGAGTCTATAAGTTTGGGCCATGCAGGAACTGATCTTGATTTTTGCAATACTTCGGCTTTTGAACTGAGTGCTGCAGTTTCGGACAAAGCTTTAACGCCCAGTTCTTGACGGGAGCATATTACATTAGAACCCGGTTTTGTAAAGCCTTGCAACTCCCTCAGCCTACATTCAGAACTGCTGGCAGTGCGATCATCTCAAATTCCAGCCTTGCCCAGCGGGTGGATTGGAAGAGAGGTTGAAAAGCGCATCGGCCTCGTCAGAGCTTCGGGCGAACGGAAACGACTCAGGATTCCGGGCGAATGATTGTGGTTTGTGCTCTAGGGTTCAAGGTTTAGGGTTTAGGGCCTCCTTAGGGTGGCCTGGCAAAGTAGGTGGAGTGCGGGACTAATCTGACACCAGGGCCCGCGCATCCAGGCATTGTCCGTAGGAGGTCACTACCTGGCATCGCCCCACATGCTCCTTTGACCCAGAATCCAAAATAATCCAAAGATCAAAACTCTAAACTCTAAAACCCCTGAACCCCTAAAACCGTAAACCCTAAATAAATCCTACACCCCTAAGCCCCAAAAGAGAACCCCAAGGCACCATCAAACCAGCAAAGCCGGCCGTCTGGCGAAACTCCCGCGCGCGGCCCTCTGCATAGGCGCTGCGCAGTCGTGCGATGTCTATGCTGCCGAGGCCTCCCACAAGAAGGGCTTAGGCTTTAGGGGTTTAGGGTTTTAGGGCTTTAAGGCTTTAGGGTTTTAGGGCTTTAAGGCTTTAGGATTTTAGGGCTTTAAGGGTTTAGGGGTCTATAGGGTTTAATTAGGGACAATGCTGAGGTTTCGAGTTTAGGGTTTATAAGGCCGGAGAATGCCTAGGGCCCAGGAGGCTTGGGATTCGCCGGGGCTGAGGATCTTGGGCTCGTGCGGCGGTGCAGGGGACTTAGTAAGTCGTTTATAAGTAGGGTTGTAATTGGGGTAACTCCATTTAGGGTACTTATATCTCTACTTATAACCTACTTACTAAGTCCGCTGCCCCTCCAAGTACGATGAGTAGTTTCTGGTTTCTGTCTGTAGTGGTCCCAAAGGGTCCAAGTATCATTATGGTGTATACTTAGACCCCCAAAATACCCTATAAGTATACTTGGACCCTTTGGGGGTTTGAACATCAAGAGATGCAAGAAAAGAAGGCCAAACATGCATGGGCTGCGGCCTTATTCAGGCCTGGGCCAAAGCGTCGTGTGGCCGCAGGAAGTTGCTATCAGAAGCCAGCTAAGTAAGGGTCTTACATGCGTAGAATAGCAGGGCTTTGAGCTTTGCTATATCACACAATTACATCATTGAGCCGTGAGAATCCTAATGGTTGTATACTCAAACGGCTGCGTCAGGAACTTGGAGGTGAGGCTCCACTAGGGGCCGCGAAAGCTCTTGCAGCCTTTACGCGGGTCTATCGAAGAGGCAGAATTGCCTCCGCCTTGATACGTCCATGAAAACAAGGACGGCCACGGAACACTTAACCCTGAGGCTTAAGGCCCTAAACCCTGAGCCCAAACTCTAAACCCTAAACCTAAACCCCTAAACCGTAAGCCTAAACCCTAACAACTGCGAGGCCAGCCAGCCTTGTGGCTTCCTGTTGACAACTTGCATGACCTGGGTTTAAGGGTTAGGGTTCAGGATTTGGGGTTTAGGAATTGGGGAGTTGGGTTTAGGAATTAAGGTTTAGTTTTTAGGGTTTAGGAGCTGGGGTTTAGTCTAAGGTGTGGGGTTGAGGGGTTCTTGAGCAAGACAACTTCGTCGGGCTTGTTGGATTGAACTTGATAGTTGTGCCCTGTCCATCTGTAGTTATAGCTGGATCTCCGGATAAAGTCAACTGGCGATATCAATACATCACGCATCTCAGTCACTCTATGATTTTCAGATGCTGCACGCGAGACACGGCACAGCTGAAGTGCTGTGAGGAGCCTCGGCGTATGGTCCGTGTTTCCAACTGAACATAGGAAACAAAACAGACCATAACAGTCAATTTGTCATGTCAGCAAACTCCCCATGCAGCTGCTACCAGTCTATTCAGGGTGACTGTGCGAAACCTGTGCATGATTTGGGATTTGGGTTTTGGGGCTTTAGGTGATGTGAATTAATACACTTAAACAGCCCCGGTGCTTTAAGTGTATAAGTGCACCGAAACAGCGACCTTGCTTTAGGTGCAGCAGGAACCCTAAAAACTCTAAAGTTGATGCACTTTTGATGCATCGGCCTCCTGGACATGCTCCCAGTTCTGCATGCGCAGCACGTCGGCGCGATCGACCACCTGGAATGGCTTGGGGTTGAAGCGGTTCGGGGTTTAAGGGTGGGGGGGTTTAGGGACTGCAGTTCACGCATGCCTTGTTCTTGGTGAGTAATCCGACTGAACCCGAGAATTGTGTCCAAGCCACGCAGACTTCGATCGATGAGAGGAAGTCGAATTCACGCTTCCTCTCGAGAGAGCATAGCCACGACCACATGTTTTTGACATCAGGCTCAAGGCACGCGACTCCGCAACGGAACACGATGCCGATCGTGCAAAGGAATCCGGACAAGGTGTGCAAAGTTAAGGCTTCAAAGTCAAAGTGTATCTGCTCGTTGGCTTGCAAGATGCTCTCTTGGGACGACACACCCCTGCTGGGACACAGCTGAAAGGGAGCTGGCCCGACTATGTTTGGTAAGTAAAAGATCGTCTCCCCGACCTGTTCTTCACTGAACTCCGAACCCCTGCATCCGGTCCGAAACCTCTAGATCAGACCAGAGACCAGTTGCAGACTAACCATCCAAAAACTAACACCGCCATTGGTCTTAGATGTCTATACCATGCTTGCACCCTTGATGCTCCTGTGTGATTTCGACTGAGGGATTCGGATCCGATCCCCCCCAGCCCTAGGCCCGCCGTCCTGTCGCCCTCCACGCCCGTGATTTGCCGCAGGCCCAGCGGCGAGCCTAGAGAGCTTCAGCAGAGGAGATCGGACTACATACATATGTACGTGTATATGCAAGCATGTATTTCTTTATATATGCACTTGCATGTATGTATGCATGCATGCCCGTGTGCATGCATGTTTTTGTATAGGTAGTTACCTATGGCCTGCAAGCGAAAGGACATGCTTTGCCCAAAAGCTTTGTATTCATACATTGGCGCAAGTGAAGATTTCGGAAGGTCTCAAACTGAAAGTTCACCCCGGTAGATTATCTGGTGTATTCAAACCCCGGCTATCCCAGGCAAAATTCTGAATCCCTAGAATTCAAAACCCCCTGGCTGGTTGTCCGAATCAAGATCGCCGTGGACCAGATGTGGTTTAGGGTTCAGGTTTGAACGGAAACAGACTTCCCTGCAGGTCTTAGAAGCATTGGTGCGGGGCTCAGAAATGCCTAAACCCTAAACCCCTAAACCCTGGACCCTACAACCCGAAACCCCTAAACCTTACACCCCAAACCCCTAAACCCTAAACTTCCTAAACCCTGGGCCCTACAACCCTAAATCCCGGGAAACCCGAAGTCCCTCAACTGGGCCCCCGGGCAGACGAGAATGTCCGCTTTGTCGAAGGGCGCATACAAACGTATGCCCTGGATGGACTTAAAGGAGTCGGAAGGTCCCAATAGCGACATAGCCCGGGTTAGAGTCAACCATGGCAACAACAAGTAATATAGGGGCCTTCGTAATTAGAATAAGGTTTGGGGTATATTATAATAAATTCTACTGGCAATTTATCTAAGCTTCTATAGTGCGCCCACGGCGATGACAACAACGAAGCAGCAGCACTTTAATGCAGCAGCAGGAAAGACACTGATGACAACAGCAAATTCAATCACTGATGGTTCAGTAGCACACACGGTACGCTGGGAAATGCAAGTTTAGCGCTCTCAGGGTTGCAAGTTCGAGGCACTTACCTAAACCCCCAAAGAACCACCCCCGCCCCCCAACAACAAAAAAGACAACAGGTAAGATAAGGGCCCAGCACCTCCCAAAGCCCATAATTCTACATACTTTTGGGGTCCAGGTAAGATTCAAGAGTTTATAAGGGCCTCCATCGTAATACCCGCTGCAAGCCGCAAGCGCTGTGCCGTGGATGCTTGAAACCGAACCTCTGCTCTCATAAACCCAGCAGCATTACAACTAGCGGACATGCTGCGATTTGCACCTTCTTCCAGAAAGTGATGCCAATGCGAAATCGATCATCGCTGTTACCTGGCACACATGGGTGGTCGTCAAAATTATGGTCCTTCTTTGGGTCCCTAATATAATACGGCATGTAGGGTACCCAAAAAGGGACCATCATTTTGACAACTACCCACATGGAAAAAAACCTTCACCCGAAGCTGCACATCGAGTTCGGTAGCTTGTTTCAAGAACTGAGGGACTTGAGGCTAGCAGTTTATGGTTCCCTGCAAACCCTTCGATTGCAGGGGCAGGTGCACGGCTGGATCTGAAGCCGGGAAGTCTGCCGAATTGCCTTACAGCACTGACTTCCTCAAACAGGATCCGGGCATCCCACCTGCGAACAGGTGCTGGTAGTCCACGGCCTTATCTGCCTTGCGACATCGCGACACCAATGAGGTTGCCCAGTGGCTTCACTTGTAATGCTTAGATGGCACTGCTCTTGTTGGGATCCAGGTGAGCGTCTGCGCGTAAGGGTATATAGGTCTTTAGAATTTACTCCTTGACACGTGCAGTTGGATGATGTTCATGCGAAAGGTGCCCCAACACATCGAAAGCCTACTTCAAAGGCTCCCGAAGCCCTAGCCCTCAAAGCCACGGCATCATCTGACGGTGGAAACTTGAGCATGCCGGAGGTTTCAGCAGCTAGAAGGCTTTCATGACAGAAACAAAAACCCATTTGCAAGATTATTACTCCCCACTTCACATGACTTCTCTCATCTCCTTCTCAACCCTAAGCCCGGAATGCCCTGAAACCGATTCGGCCTGAAACCGTAGACCTCCCCCACCCTAAAGCATAAACCCCCTCCCCTAGATCGAGGTGAGCACCATGGAGTTTTCGTCGTCACCCGGACCATAGTCTTCGTCGAATCTCTGCAGATTGGCAACCTCACGGCAAGGAAACTCAATGCAAACACTCCAAGAGGGTTAAAGGTTCAGGCTTGGGTTCCAGGGTTTAGAGTTTAGGGGATGAGCTGCATCCTGTCTCCCAAGTACGACCGCATCAACCGCCGAAGATAATGCTCATGACGGGCGTGAACACTACGACGGTATGATGGTGCTCACGACGACGACGATGACACTGATGGCGTTGATGGCGCTAGTGTTGGTGATGATGATGAGGAGGAGGAGGAGGAGGAGGAGGAGGAGGAAGAGGAATAAGGATAAACATACGAGTATGATGGTGACGATGATGATGCATGCTGAGAATGAAAATCAGAACTAGGATGAGGATGATGAGGATGAGGAGGCAAAGAACCGTGAGGTCACGAGACTGTGATCACATGTTACAGGCAACGCCACAAGAAGCAACACCATGGAGGTTATGCTGGCTGCATGGAAACGCAAGGCTTTCGGGCTCAAGCTCCGGTCATCCTAATCGACCAGCGAAGCAAGCAAATCTCTTAAGAGCCCTTAGACCGTGCAGCAGATCCAGGATTGCAGGTGACAAGGAGCCTGCTTCTTCCCTGGCACCATGGCCAGCAGCATCTTGACCTGTGTCGACATTGCGGAGAGCAGAAGCAGGAGGAGGATTCCCCATCATGGCTTCGGGGTGTCTGGCGAGATAACCCGAACATTCAAAGTGTCACTGACCGGTCAGCCCAAAGTAGACGTACAAGGTCCGTCCGCCACTGACTGCCACTGGGCACTGTACGGCTAGCAACCCATACCAAAACCCCAAGCCAGGATTCATCCCAGAGCAACGCGCAGCCTCAAACAATCGTGTTGAGCCCAAATCCCCAACTTTCCATCCTTGAGCCACTTTCCGAAGCCAGAGTCTGAAAGCCCAAGGCCCGGTAAAGGTACGAACCTCCTGTGATTCCAGTCGCGTTTATCATCACCCTACTGGCACTTTGATCACTTACTTAGCTCTCTTTTGGCCGACACTTGCAAGATCTGCCTGCGCTTGTTCACAGCATTTTGCATTGAGTTTTCAAGATGTCTGGTGAGCCTGCATTCGAAATCTTCGCATCGCCTCCACGTTCGTAGTTGGGAGTTCCCGCAAATTATGGATGCGAATACAGAAGCCAAACTACGTCTTTTTGCTAAACGGACAGGCAAACCGGGTGCCAGTATGGCTTCTGCAACTTTTGGGCTTACAGTTTGAGTTGTGTTTAAGGCTCTGGGCGTTGGAGTTGAGGCTTTCGGGTTAGGGCGGTTAAGGGTGCGCTTGTGCCGATAGAATCTCATCGTCCGTGCTTTCAGTACATGTAGATCTCTACATGCACAGATTCCGATGAAGGAACAGCCCGCAAACCACACCTCCAAAGAAATGCCCACTCCCGCGGACTCCGAAGCCATCAACCTCCTCCACTCCAGCGGTTGTGCAGCAAAAGCTCCAAAGCCCCATTATTTACAGCCACAACCCTAAGCTACCCCAAAGCCGAGATTGAAATTTTGAGGATTGCGCAACGGACCCGCAGCCGTCCAAATGCAGCGCGAGGGGCGAAGTCATAGCACGTGGACCGGAAAGGGCACAGGACCAACACCTGGCAGGGCGACCAGTCTGCGAATGGGTGGAAAAAACAGTTGCGATGTCTTCTGCGTGCACTGCTGGCGCTGCTTCTGTTTTTCGTTACAGGAACGGCGCGCAGGGTTCTTGCGGAGCCTTATTGTGCCGTCTTTCATTGCCAGTGCGACCATTGCACAATCGCCTGCTATCGACCACTTCTCAATCATCGCAAAGTCTGTAAATACAGCTTCTGGCCTTGGCTTTCGTGAAACCCTGGTCAGCATCACCTGCATCGCTTGGACGAGAGAGATTTGGGATGAAAGATTCGCTGTAAAGATGACTTAGAGCAAGCGTCTGAACTGCATACGTCACCATCCCCAATTTCTAGAATGACTGTGCAACAACTACGAATAAAGCAAACGTGGCAGCAACTAAAAGAAATGAGGAAACCTCTATTAGCACAATGCCTTTACTCGAACCGTCGACATGAGGTGGCAGGTCACCAGTTTTCGGCTTCGCGTCCGGTTCTCGATTTATGGTGCCTGTGATTAACGACTCAGGCCCGGCGCTGTAGTCTCCAGCGCTCGACGACATGTGCCGAGGGTTGAGACATCTTTGAAACTGTATCTCCGCTTTGTCACGCAAGCGAGCGTGTGATTCTCCGACTTTGCAATGGGCAAGCAGTCTCACCTTCTGGATGTGTCCAACACCTCGATAGTGGTGTTGTGACCAACGGAGGCGATCATTTTGCGCATGATGGGCTGAATCTTGCTCGACTCTTTTCGATCAATTCGAAGCCGCACATGTTTGCAGCTAGCTCTCCGCATACACAGCAGCCGTCGGTGGTCTTTGGTCCAGTAAAGGTTCTGCCACCGCCCTTCATACTTGACGTTGCAAACCAATCCATTCAATATGAAGCTTCTGTGCTGGGAAGGGTCTACCCTCCCAGTCAAAAGGTCCTGGGTAGTCTTTTCAAGCGGTGTGCCATCCTGGAAATGGGAGCTGCATGTCTTCCTTGGGTCTCACGGAGGCAGGGAATGAATACAGTCTAGGGCCTTTGATATCTAAACTGGGGTTTGGAGTAACTGCCTCACTTTACTATAACCATCGGTGACATTCGTACTAATGATTCAGATCTCGATCGTCAAAAAATTCCTTTCTGGCACCAACACCACCTGGATGAGGAAAAAGCTTCAGTATCAATGAATCATCAACAAGCTTCTGAAGGTATCCCACTTTGTCAATGGCAACAATCTCAATGTGGCAATCTCCCACATCTCGAGTGTGCCAGTCTCCAGACTCATTCTGGGAAGTTGGCCAGTTGTTCGATGCTTGCGCAGCCTGAGAAGACCACCAATCTCTTGGGTTTGATGCCTGCGCCTGCCCAGTCGGCGAAGACCACCAGTCTCCGTCTGACGCCTGCGCTGCCTGGGTGGTCTGAGAAGACCACGAACTTGACGCCTGCGTCGGAGAGCGCGAGCGCTGCGTCGGCCGGGATGCGAAGTCTCTGTCTGATGCTGCCTGAATCAAAGGCCCCGTGTCGCGAAAGCAAGCTGTGCTTATGTGCAATCGGGCGGAATTACGGCATCCCTTACTGCATCTGAAACCTGAACAAGGTTATTGACCTGCAGATCCGAGCATCAACTCCAGACCGTGAGGTGCTCCGATGCTGACTGTGCGACAGATCGTGCATGCATTGAGCTAGTTCATGGCTTCCGACTTCTTCTGCGATTTGCAAAGCCGTCATTCTCTGGCCTTTGTAGTAGGTCTTGATGTTGGTATCTGCGGCTGCTTGAAGCAGCAGCTGCAACATGTCTGCACTTGACTTCCAAACGCAAGCCGCTTGCAAAGCGTTCAGTGCTCCGCCCGTGCGGTGATGTGTAATAACATCCACGGAGGCTCGCCCAGCTAGAAGAGCCTTTGCCGCACTCAGTTGGTTGAAGCCCGCTGCAACCCTTAAGAGCCATGCAGTCTCTTCAGGCCCCAAAGCCATCAACACAGAGGAGTCGTCCTCCGAGACATGTTCAAGCAAGAAGTGCGCTTGTGTGAAGCTGAAGGTCAGAGTCCTCGAGCCGGTCTGAATCTCCTCCACCTGGGATTGCATGGGCTTGGGGGGCAGTACGGCAGCTTCCGGAGGGCGTTGGGGTCGAAGCCATTGGACCAAGCCCACGTGACCTTCGCCCTCAGCGATCTGGAGGGCAGTCCGTGGATTGTTCTTGCACCTGGTCTTGATGTCGGGGTCCCCTCTTGCCTGCAGCATTAAACGGAGCATGTCCACATTGGCGTTGTAGCGGCAGGCTTCATGCAAAGCACTGTAAGCGCCGGCACTGTGGTGCGGCGTGATCAGGTTGACACATGCCCGGGCAGCTAGCAGCGCCTTCGCTGCCGTCATGTGGTCAAACCGTGCAGAAACTCGCAAAAGACATGCCAGTTCCTCTTGGTCGAGTGCTTCCAGGACAGGCACGTCAGCTTCGGTGATGTTCTGAATTGTCTCACATGCCGTACTGTACCTGAACATCGCAGAGGCCAGACGTGGTCTTATCACCCAGCTGTCAATCTGGAGCTACCTCGAAGCCATCGAAACCTCTTCATACTGAGAATGCTCTCTCTTATTACTACATGAGTGCGATTAGCTTAACTGTCAAGGTGATGGTGGCCATGGCAATGATGATGTTCCTGACAGTTACGACCGAAGCAACGACGAGATGGAGAGGTCGTGGAAAAAGAGGGGGGCTAGCTGTCAGTTGCAACAGACACATCAACAATCCCAACTGCCTCGTTATTTGCCCAACTTATCTTCGCAAGCCGAGCAGTGCAAGCTCAACGGCACGATGAATCCCCTTCACAGCAAACTTGAGCACAATGCCAGCTGCAGATGTGATTGGGAAGCTTGTGTTGCACGTAGCAGGAACTGAGCAACTTAACACAGACATCTTCAGGCGGGTTGTGGCGACGGGGGTTGGGCAAGCCAGCTTTCACGAGATCTACTCGCCGAATGTCAATGAGCTTCCGTAGCAGATCAGAAACACAGCCCTAACCGCGACACTAACCCGTGATCCCAACCCCCCAAATCCCGAATCTGGGTCGCAGCACCGGGGGCTGAGCCGGCGCGGTGGTCGCCTTGTGCCTGTGCATGTCAGGAGGTGGCATTCATATTCTTACTTCCCCAATTCCTAGTAAACTATAAGAACCCGAAAAGTTTAAAGGCCGGGCATTGGGGATCTATAAGTATTCAACAACACCATTACCAGGTTAGCGATTCGGGGACATTCGTTTGAGACATGTCTTCACCAAGAAAGATCAGCCCCTTGCGCTGCAATCCATAGTGCATGTGCTGAGTTGCGACTATGCGGGTCCAAGCCGGCCTGCAACAAGTCCCTGTAAGAGAGTCAGGAACTGGGATTTAGGGCAATACAGAGTTGCTATAGCGAAATCATATGCACCACAGCTGCATGTTCACCCCAGGGGAAGACTTATCGAACGGCCGTCAGAAGGAACTGTGCCGAGAGAGGCCAGCACTGCCTGGGTCTTCCCCTTTGATCTTCGGGTCAGGTCAGTTGCTTAGGATTCGGGTTTAGGGCTTATGATGGCATATGGCGTATATGGGGGTTTTAACAATGTTTTGAGTTCCGGGGTTATGGCTTCCTAATCACCAACACAAATGCTTGTCTAGCCTGGAAATGCCTACGAGGTTGAGGCACAAAGCACATGGAGCTTGCGCCTTCAGAACATGGTCGGCAGCGTGTAGAGCGCAAAGGGCCCGGATGGCCTCAGAGTCTCGCGACCATGATATCTCACGTCGTTCATCCCAACAGGGGTCCCTCCGAAAGGTAGTAAAAAGCGTGATGCGCAAGAAGGTTCATCGGTGATGCTTCGAGTGCGCCGACCAGTAGGTCGCAGTGAGAACAGTTGCAGTGTAGATGGAGCTTCGGTCATATAGGTCCTGCGCTTCGTTTTCAGGCTGACTACAGTCTGCCTAATGATCTACCTTAAACCGATGCTTCGAAGTTGTCCACATGCTTAAGCTAAGCAAGCGGACAACTTCGAAGCGTCG